CAACTCCCACAATTCCAAACAGCCTATGATAGTTATCCTGGAGGACTTACAAAATGCCTAGGACCATAGACACTGGTCCTGTAGATACCTGGGCCACACGGTAGTCTGAGGCCAAATGCCTGGTGGATGCACACCTTGAGTTACACACTGAGCCATTGACTGTGCATAGTCTTGAAAGGTGTGTCGGTAAACAGGTTAAATTACTGCCAGCAATTCAATGCATTTCCAGAAGGTGGCAGGCTTTGCTAAAGAATGAAGTGTATGTATTGAAGGCTTTCATGGCTGGAATCACTGGGTTGTTGTAGGTTTTTTCGGGCTATATGGCCATGTTCATGTTCTATAGGCATTATCTCCTGACGTTTTGCCTGCATCTATGGCGAGCATCCTCAGAGGTAGTGGGGATGCTCAGAGGTAGTGAGGATGCACTACCTCTGAAGATGCTTGCCATAGATGCAGGCAAAACGTCAGGAGAGAATGCCTCTAGAACATGGCCATATAGCCCGTAAAAAACTACAAAAACCCAATGAGGTGTATGGTTTAGGAAGACACATAGTGGAAAATGTGTTGTCCAAGGTTTTCACTTTTTCTGGGCTGTATGGCCATATTCCTGAAGCATTCTTTCCTGACGTTTCGCCCACATCTATGGCAAGCATCCTCAGAGGTTGCAAGGTCTGTTGGAAACTAGACAAGGGAGGTTTATATATCTATGGAATAATGTCCAGGATGAGAGAAAGAACTCTTGTCTGGGTTGTTGTAGGTTTTTTGGGTTGCTGTAGGTTGTTGTATGGCCATGGTCTAGAGACATTTTCTCCTGACGTTTCGCCTGCATCTATGGCAAGCATCCTCAGAGGTAGTGAGGTCTGTAGGAACTAGGAAAAAGGGTTTATATATCTGTGGAATGACCAGGGTGGGACAAAGGACTCTTGTCTGCTGGAGCTAGGTGTGAATGTTTCAACTGACCACCTTGATTATCATATAATGGCCCGACAGTGAATATTGCAATTGATTAGCACTGAATGGCCTTGCGGCTTCAAAGCCTGGCTGCTTCCTGCCTGGGAGAATCCTTTGTTGGGAGGTGTTAGCAGGCCCTTATTGTTTCATGTCAGGAATTCCCCTGTTGTTTGAGTGTTTCTCTTTATTTACTGTCCTTATTCCCCCAGGCAGGAATCAGCCAGTCTTTGAAGCTGCAATCCCATTCAATGCTAATCAAGGTGGCCAGTTGCAACACTCACACTTGCCTCAAGCAGACAAGAGTTCTCTCTCCCACCCAGGACATTATTCCACAGATAGATAAACCCCACTTGCCTATTTTCCAACAGACCTCACAACCTCTGAGCATGTGGTTGAAATGTCAGGAGAGAATGCTTCTGGAATGTGGCCAGACAGACTGGAAAACTAACAGTAACCCATAGCGGAAAAAGTACCTGTATGAGTAGTTGGCATGTTTGTTATACAGATTGTTTTAAAATCACAAAAAATTGTGAGATATGTATGGCTGGAGAACGTTGGCGATTGACAATATTTGTGGATTAGTTTTTCACAAGCGTTCGAGCAAGGCCAAGCCCAAATGTCATTTAGCTAAGCAAACACCAGCTTTCCCCAGTCTCCCCCAGTGCTAATATGGAAGTCAGGATGGTCTAAGCAGTGGTTCTCAACCTTGCTAATGCCGTGACCCCTTAATGCAGTTCCATATGTTGTGGTGACCCCCAACCATAATATTGTTTCCGTTGCTACATGATAGCTGTCATTTTAGTACTATTATAAATCATAATGTAAATATCCGATATGCAGGATATATTTTCATTCACTGGACTAAATTGAGCACAAATACCCAATATGCCCAAATGTGAATGCTACTGGGGGGGGGGGGAGGATTGATTTTAATTTGGAGTTGTAGTTGCTGGGATTTATAGTTCACCTAATCAAAAAGCATTCTGAACTCCACCAGCGATGGATTTAAACCGAACTTGGCACAAAGAACTCCCATGACCAACAGAAAACACTGGAAGGGTTTTGTGGGCATTGACCTTGAGTTTGGGAGTTGTAGTTCACCTATATCCAGAGGAGCACTGTGGATTCAATGCCCACCAAACCCTTTCAGTATTTTCATGTGAGTTCTGTGTGCCAAATTTGGTTCAGTTCCATCATTGATGGAGTTCAGAATGCTCTTTGATTGTAGGTGAACTATAAATCCCAGCAACTACAACTCCCAAATATCAAGGTCCATTTCCCCCAAACTCCATCAGTGTTCACATCTGGGCATATAGGGTATTTGTGCCAAGTTTGGTCCAAATCCATCATTGTTTGATTCCACAGTACTCTCTGGATGTAGGTGAACTATAACTCCAAAACTCATGGTCAATGCCCACCAAACTTGGCACGAATACTCAGTATGCCCAAATGTGAACACTGGTAGAGTCTGGGGAAAATAGACCTTGACATTTGGAAGTTGTAATTGTTGGGATTTATAGTTCACCTACAATCAAAGAGCATTCTGAACTCGACCAACAATAGAATTGGGTCAAACTTCCCACACAGAATAACAATGACCACCAGAAAATACTATGTTTTCTGATGGTCTTTGGCGACCCCTTTGACACCCCCTCACAACCCCCTCAGGGGTCCCGACCCCCAGGTTGAGAAACACTGGTCTAGTGGTCTGAGGACTGGACCACAATTCTAGAGACCAGGGCTGGAATCCTCACTCAGCCATGGAAATCCACTGGAAGATCTAGGGCGAGTCATACTTTCTCATCCTCAAAGGATGACAAGAACAACTCCCCACCAAACAAATTTTGCCAAGAAAAACCCCTTGGTGGGATCACCTTATGGTTGACCTGAAGGCAGAGAAGAAGGCTAGCACATGTCCTAAAACCCGGATGCGACAACATGCAAGACTTTCGTAGGAGTGAAGGAGATGGGCAGATTTGCAACCACATTGCCCCTCTGTGTCTCCTCTGGCACTTGCTTTCAAGCATCCAGCCATCTCCTCTTACCTGTCAAGAGAAGGCTTTACAGCCCACAACATCATAGGAAATGGATGCTCCACTGATGTTCCCATTCCACTGTTTAGTACCTTTGGAAAAAGATCTATTAAGATGAGTTTTGGTTCAGACATTCCAAAACTTGCCCTTCTCTTCCATTACAATTACTCTGGGAAGCAGTGGAAGAAGTGCCGCAACCAAAATCTTGGAACATCAACGGAAGCGGCGCTATCTCCCCTGATCTTAGTGGTACATTGTGAAGCTCTAGAGCAGTGTTTCTCAACCTTCCTAATGCCGCAACCCCTTAAGACAGTTCCTCATGTTCTGGTGACCCCCAACCGTGAAATTATTTTCGTTGCTACTTCATAACTATCATTTTGCTACTGTTGTCCCATGATATGAGATTAGGTCTCTGGTTGGAGGGAGCTAAGGAAAGGTTAATGCAGTGGTTCTCACCCTTCCTAATGCCGCAACCCCTTAATACAGTTCCTCATGTTCTGGTGACCCCAACCGTGAAATTATTTTCACTGCTACTTCATAACTGTCATTTTGCTACTGTTGTCCCGTGATATGAGATTAGGTCTCTGGTTGGAGAGAGCTAAGGAAACATTAATGCAATGGTTCTCACCTTTCCTAATGCCGTGACCCCTTAAGGCAGTTCCTCATGTTGTGCTGACCCCCAACCATAACATTGTTTTCGTTGCTACTTCACAACTGTCACTTTGCTACTGTTGCCCCATGATATAAGATAAGGTCTCTGGTTGGACGGAGCTAAGGAAAAGTTAATGCAGTGGTTCTTACCCTTCCTAATGCTGCAACCCCTTAAAACAGTTCCTCATGTTCCCCAACCATAACATTATTTGCATTGCTACTTTTGTTAATGTTATGAATTGTAATGTAAATATCTGATATGCAGGATGGATTTTCATTAACTGAACCAAATTTGGTACAAATATCCAATACACCTAAATTCGAATACTGGTGGCGTTGGGGATTTTATCATTTGTGAGTTGTAGTTGCTGGGATTTATTGTTAACCTACAATCAAAGAGTATTCTGAACTCCACCAAAGATAGAACTAAACCAAATTTGGCATGCACAACTCCCATGACCAACAGAAAATACTGAAAGGGTTTGGTGTGCATTGACCATGAGTTTTGGAGTTATAGTTCACCTACATCCAGAGAGAACTGTGGAATCAAACAATGATCGATTTCGACCAGACTTGGCACAAATACTCTATATGCCCAGATGTGAACACTGGTGGAGTTTGGGGGAAATAGACCTTGTCATTTGGGAGTTGTAGTTGCTGGGATTTATAGTTCAACTACAACCAAAGAACATTCTGAACTCCACAAAGGATGGAACTGAACCAAATTTGGCACACAGAACTCACATGAAAATACTGAAAGGGTTTGGTGGGCATTGACCATGAGTTTTGGAGTTATAGTTCACCTACATCCAGAGAGCACTGTGGAATCAAACAATGATGGATCTGGACCAAACTTGGCACAAATACTCTATATGCCCAGATGTGAATACTGGTGGAGTTTGGGGGAAATAGACCTTGTAGTTGCTGGGATTTATAGTTCACCTACAACCAAAGAGCACTCTGAACCCAGCCCACAATGGATCTGCACCAAACATGGCACACTACCTACATGGCCAACATTGAATATTGGTAGAGTTGGTAGTTCACCAACACTGAACTGGAAGAAAAGGACAGGCGGAGAGATCTTCAGCCTTCTCTGCCAAAGGGTTCTCAAGACCATCAGAAATATGTGTTTTCTGGTGGTCTTTGGCGACCCCTCTGAAACCCCTCTTGCGACCCCCTCAGGGGTTCCGACCCCCAGGTTGAGAAACACTGCTCTAGAGATATCCCTGAATGCCTGAGTCATCGCTATGTGTCGCTGCTTTTCTGGGCTGTGTGTATTATGGGAGAAGTTAGGTTTGTGAGGAGGGAAGGGGGGTATGGGAGAGGAAGAGGGGTGACAGAGGGGTGCGGTACAATACTGACGTTGCAACTGCCTCCGTTCTTGCAGGGGTTGCTGTCGCACTCGTTGATCTCCATCTCGCAGCTGGTGCCCGCAAAGCCGGCCCGGCAGCCGCAGGTGTAGCTCCCTTGGCCCGTGTTGGTGCAGGTAGCGCCGTTCTTGCAGGGACGGTGGTTGGTGCAGTAGTTGAGGTCCTGGTTGCAGAAGAGCCCGCCCCAGCCTTCCCGGCAGTTGCACTGCCAGGGCTGGGCGCAGGTCCCGTGGAGGCAGCCCGGGTAGCGGACACACGCGTCGCAGAGAGGGCCCTGCCAGCCGATGCGGCACTTGCACTCGCCGGGCTTCTCGCAGAACCCGTGGCTGTGGCTGCAGCCGGGCAAACAAACGGCTGAGAAGAGAGTTAAACAGAGAGGGGAGGAAGAAAGAAAGAAAGAGAGGAAGGAAGGAGCCGGTGCTATTGCTGTATGGACTCTGTGTGCGTGTCACACCAACATCTGGCGCCCGCCACGGCCAGAAACAAAAGGCCCACATGCCACCCAAAAAGGACGGCTGCAACACGTGTCCCCTTTTCATCCCCGGCTGCTCTCCATTGTCCCGCGGCAACAAAAGCGGAGTGTCTGGGAAAAGGGAAAAAGGGGGCTTGGGGTCCCCCGCCGACCCACTTAAAGACGGGGGCCTGCCGAGCCACACAACTCCAGGACAAAGGAGGAGGGAGGGCGCAGCTTGCCTGACCCTGGATATTTATCCATTCCCCTCACCTTTCCCCTCGGGAAGTTAACCAGCCCTTCCATATGCCAAGGCTCCGAGGGGAAGCTTTGTGTGGCAATTAAACCGTCACGATGGCAAGGAGGGATTCCCTTGGCCCAAAGCCATTGCCATGGAGACTGGCCAGGCCAACAACCGAGACAAGTTGGCCTCTTTCAGCACACTTTTGTAGCCCCCCTGCGATGAGGGTATACGTGGTCATATGCCTCCCCAACATTTCAGCTGTCAACACGGGTTGAAACTACCAATTTACAGTTCCAGTGCATGGACATCCAGCTTCCCCGATCTTAACATCTCAGAGAAACAACCAACTACATTTTGCATGGTTCGTGTTAATTGCCTTCAAGTCAACTTAGACTTATGGCAATCCCATAAATGAGAACTTTCCAAGAGGGTGTACGTGGTCATATGCCTCCCCAACTTGGGGAGCTGTCAACATGGGTTGAAACTACCAATTTGCAGTTCCAGTACATGGACATCTTGCTTCTCTGTTCTTAACATCTCACAGAAACAACCAACTACATTTTGCATGGTTCGTGTTAATTGCCTTCAAGTCAACTTAGACTTAGAGCAATCCCATAAATGAGAACTTTCCAAGAGGGTGTACGTGGTCATGTGCCTCCCCAACTTGGTCATATGCCTCCCCAACTTGGGGAGCTGTCAACATGGGTTGAAACTACCAATTTGCAGTTCCAGTACATGGACATCTTGCTTCTCTGTTCTTAACATCTCACAGAAACAACCAACTACATTTTGCATGGTTCGTGTTAATTGCCTTCAAGTCAACTTAGACTTAGAGCAATCCCATAAATGAGAACTTTCCAAGAGGGTGTACGTGGTCATGTGCCTCCCCAACTTGGTCATATGCCTCCCCAACTTGGGGAGCTGTCAACATGGGTTGAAACTACCAATTTGCAGTTCCAGTACATGGACATCTTGCTTCTCTGTTCTTAACATCTCACAGAAACAACCAACTACATTTTGCATGGTTCATGTTAATTGCCTTCAAGTCAACTTAGACTTAGGCAATCCCATAAATGAGAACTTTCCAAGAGGGTGTACGTGGTCATATGCCTCCCCAACTTGGGGAGCTGTCAACATGGGTTGAAACTACCAATTTGCAGTTCCAGTACATGGACATCTTGCTTCTCTGTTCTTAACATCTCACAGAAACAACCAACTACATTTTGCATGGTTCGTGTTAATTGCCTTCAAGTCAACTTAGACTTAGAGCAATCCCATAAATGAGAACTTTCCAAGAGGGTGTACGTGGTCATGTGCCTCCCCAACTTGGTCATATGCCTCCCCAACTTGGGGAGCTGTCAACATGGGTTGAAACTACCAATTTGCAGTTCCAGTACATGGACATCTTGCTTCTCTGTTCTTAACATCTCACAGAAACAACCAACTACATTTTGCATGGTTCGTGTTAATTGCCTTCAAGTCAACTTAGACTTAGGCAATCCCATAAATGAGAACTTTCCAAGAGGGTGTACGTGGTCATATGCCTCCCCAACTTGGGGAGCTGTCAACATGGGTTGAAACTACCAATTTGCAGTTCCAGTACATGGACATCTTGCTTCTCTGTTCTTAACATCTCACAGAAACAACCAACTACATTTTGCATGGTTCGTGTTAATTGCCTTCAAGTCAACTTAGACTTAGAGCAATCCCATAAATGAGAACTTTCCAAGAGGGTGTACGTGGTCATGTGCCTCCCCAACTTTTCAGCTGTCAACATGGGTTGAAACTACCAATTTGCAGTTCCAGTGTATGGACATCCGGCTTCTCTAATCTTAACACCTCATAGAAACAACCAACTACATTTTGCATGGTTCATGTTAATTGCCTTCAAGTCGACTTATGGCAACCCCATAAATGAGAGCTTTCCAAGAGGGTGTACGCGGTCATATGCCTCCCCAACTTGGTCATATGCCTCCCCAACTTGGGGAGCTGTCAACATGGGTTGAAACTACCAATTTGCAGTTCCAGTGCATGGGCAACCTGCTTCTCTAATCTTAACATCTCACAGAAACAACCAGCTACATTTTGCATGGTTCATGTTAATTGCCTTCAAGTCAACTTAGACTTATGGCAACCCCATAAATGAGAACTTTCCAAGAAGGTGTACGTGGTCATATGCCTCCCCAACTTGGTCATATGCCTCCCCAACTTTTCAGCTATCAACATGGCAACCCCATGAATGAGAACTTTCCAAGAGGGTGTTACGTGGTCATATACCTCCCCAACTTTTCAGATGTCAACATGGCAACCCCATGAATGAGAACTTTCCAAGAGGGTGTACGTGGTCATATGCCTCCCCAACTTGGTCATATGCCTCCCCAACTTTTCAGCTATCAACATGGCAACCCCATGAATGAGAACTTTCCAAGAGGGTGTTACGTGGTCATATACCTCCCCAACTTTTCAGATGTCAACATGGCAACCCCATGAATGAGAACTTTCCAAGAGGGTGTTACGTGGTCATATGCCTCCCCAACTTTTCAGATGTCAACATGGCAACCCCATGAATGAGAACTTTCCAAGAGGGTGTTACGTGGTCATATGCCTCCCCAACTTGGTCATATGCCTCCCCAACTTTTCAGCTATCAACATGGCAACCCCATGAATGAGAACTTTCCAAGAGGGTGTTACGTGGTCATATGCCTCCCCAACTTTTCAGATGTCAACATGGCAACCCCATGAATGAGAACTTTCCAAGAGGGTGTTACGTGGTCATATACCTCCCCAACTTTTCAGATGTCAACATGGCAACCCCATGAATGAGAACTTTCCAAGAGGGTGTTACGTGGTCATATACCTCCCCAACTTTTCAGATGTCAACATGGCAACCCCATGAATGAGAACTTTCCAAGAGGGTGTACGTGGTCATATGCCTCCCCAACTTGGTCATATGCCTCCCCAACTTTTCAGCTATCAACATGGCAACCCCATGAATGAGAACTTCCCAAGAGCCAGTCCAGACAGTACTTTTATTCCAGGAGCAAACAGGAGGGTGGCCAGATGCCGTTCCCTGTAAACGCAGAAGCAATCACTACAAAAGGCAAAAAATGCGAGATTTCCAGGTGCGGGAATATTGTGGTTTTGAGCTGAATATGTCTGTATGTCCCTGCAATCGGAAATCACAGTCTTTTATATTTGGCTTTGTTCCCAAGTTTTAGATCAGGGGTCCTCAAACTATGGCCCGCGGGCCACTTCCGGCCTGCCAAGGGCACTTATCCGGCCCACGGAGGAGGAGCGCCCCCCCCCACACAGTGCCCCTCCCTTGGCTGGCTCATGCTATCCGTCAGGCCCGATGGGCAGCGTGAACCAGCGAAGTCCAGTCGTGTCTGACTCTGGGGTGTGGTGCTCATCTGCATTTCTAAGTCGAAGAGCCGGCGTTGTCCGTAGACACCTCCAAGGTCATGTGGCCGGCATGACTTCATGGAGCGCTGGGGCAGCCTCCCTTGGCTGGCTCACGCTGCCCATTGGGCCCGTGAGGTGCTTTACGCGCGAGTAAGCCGCGCGGTGCTGCTCCTCCCTTGGCAGGCTCACACTGCCCATTGGGCCCGATGGGCAGCATGAGCCAGCCAAGGGAGGCTGCCCTGGCGCTCCATGCAGTCATGCCGGCCACATGACCTTGGAGGTGTCTACGGACAACGCCGGCTCTTCGACTTAGAAATGCAGATGAGCACCACACCCCAGAGTCAGACACGACTGGACTTCATGTCAGAGGAAAACCTTTAACTAGGAAAATTGTGGAAGATCCAGGGTGGGAGAAAGAACTCTTGTCTGTTGGAGGTAGGTATGAATGTTTCAATTGGCCACCTTGATTACCATTTCATAGCCTGACAGTTTTTAGGGAGAATCCTTTGTTGAGAGGCTGAGAGGGGATATGATAGCCATGTATAAATATGTGAGAGGAAGCCACAGGGAGGAGGAGGGAGCAAGCTTGTTTTCTGCTTCCTTGGAGACTAGGACGCAATGGAACAACAAGAGAGGAGATTCCATCTGAACATGAGGAAGAACTTCCTGACTGTGAGAGCCGTTCAGCAGTGGAACTCTCTGCCCCGGAGTGTGGTGGAGGCTCCTTCTTTGGAAGCTTTAAACAGAGGCTGGATGGCCATCTGTCAGGGGTGATTTGAATGCAATATTCCTGCTTCTTGGCAGAATGGGGTTGGACTGGATGGCCCAGGAGGTCTCGTCCAACTCTTTGATTCTATGATTCTATGGCCTACAACTCCCAGAAATCCCAGCCAGTTTACCAGCTGTTAGGATTTCTGAGAGTTGAAGGCAGAAAACATCTGGACAACCCAGGTTGAGGACAACTGCTTATCCTCAACAGCCTTGTTCAGGTCTTGCAAACTTAGGACCTCAGGATCTAATTCATGGGGTTGCCTTAAGTCAAAGTAAACTTGAAGGCAATTAACATGAACCACAAAAAATGTAGTTGGATGTTTCTGTGAGATGTTGAGATAAGGGAAACCGTGACTTCCCTGATGGAGTCTATCCATCTGCAATCCAGTCTTCCTCTTTCCCTCCTGCCTTCTACCTTCCTGAACATTATGGCCTTTTCTACTGAATTTCTACTGTCTTCTTGTGATAAGCCCAAAATACAACAACCTCAGGGTTGTTGTAGGTTTTTCCGGGCTATATGGCCATGTTCTGGAGGCAATTTTTCTCCTGACGTTTCGCCTGCATCTATGGCAAGCATCCTCAGAGGTAGTGAGGTCTGTTGGAAGTAGGAAAAATGGGTTTATATATCTGTGGAATGACCAGGGTGGGACAAAGGACTTTTGTCTGCTGGGGCTAGGTGTGAATGTTTCAGCTGATCACCTTGATTAGCATTCAATGGCTTGGAAGTGCCTGGGGGGAATCTTTTGTTGAGAGTGATTTTATGTGCCTGTTTGTTTCCCCTCTGTTTTACATAGGGACCACCAAACGCAGCATTGCCCAGACACGCATCAAGGAACATGAAAGGCACTGCAGACTACTTCAACCAGAGAAGTCAGCCATAGCAGAGCACCTGATGAACCAGCCTGGACACAGCAGATTATTTGAGAACACAGAAATGCTGGACCACACCAACAACCACCATGTCAGACTACACAGAGAAGCCATTGAAATCCACAAGCATGTGGACAATTTCAACAGAAAGGAAGAGACCATGAAAATGAACAAAATCTGGCTACCAGTATTAAAAAACTCTAAAATTACAACAGCAAAACAGCAGAGAGGAAACAACCAGGCACATCTTAACACCTCTCAACAAAGGATTTTCCCAGGCTCAGCCAGGCCTTCAAATGCTAATGAAGGTGGTCAGTTGAAACATTCACACCTAGCTTCAGCAGGGAAGAGCTCCTTGCCCCACCCCAGCCATTCCACAGATATATAAACCCATTGTCCTAATTCCAACAGACCTCACTACCTCTGAGGATGCTTGCCATAGAAGGAAGAAACCATGAAAATGAACAAAATCTGGCTACCAGTATTTAAAAACTCAAAAATTACAACAGCAAAACAACAGAGGGGAAACAAACAGGCACATAAAATCACTCTCAACAAAAGATTCCCCCCAGGCACTTCCAAGCCATTGAATGCTAATCAAGGTGATCAGCTGAAACATTCCCACCTAGCTCCAGCAGACAAAAGTCCTTTCTCCCACAGATATATAAACCCATTTTTCCTACTTCCAACAGACCTCACTACCTCTGAGGATGCTTGCCATAGATGCAGGCGAAACGTCAGGAGAACATGGCCATATAGCCCGGAAAAACCTACAACAACCCAGTGATTCCGGCCATGAAAGCCTTCGACAATACATACAACCACCTCAGTTTAGGGTCATCTTGGCTTCTTGGGCCCAAACTTGGGAATATCCTCTTTGGAAACATAGCAGTTCCTCAGCACTACTACCACCAGCAGGGACTTTCAAGAAGCAGTGCCATCTCCTCACTTTCCAACCCCAAATGCCCTAGATGCTCCTTCACGCAACTTAGTCTGTTCCTCGCTCCCTCTATTCTACCTCCACTTGCAGCCGTGTCCCGCTCTCCGTAAAAGCTACTTACGCTCGGAGCAATATTCGCCCCGCCACCCTGCTAAGCAGATCCGGCTGCCCAGTTCGTCACAGGCGTAGTGCCCAAAGGCATCGTCCCGTGGCCGGCAGTAGTCCGAGCAGCTCTCCCCGTAGTAGTGCTCGTCGCAGGTGACGTGGTAGGAGTAGCGCAGCTCACTCTGGTCTCCCAGTTGCACATCTTGCGACCAGTCCTCACCGACGGCCAGGCGACGACGGGTGGCCAGGCGGCTGATCAGCCTCTGGGCATCCTCTGGGAGAAGGGCGGAAGGCACAGTTAGGGGCACTTGGGTGGGTGGGATTTGAAACATAAGAGGAAAACCAGCAGAGAGGTACAAGCAGCAAAAGAGAGTTTGGGTTGTTGTAGGTTTTTTCAGGCTATATGGCCATGTTCTAGAGCAGTGTTTCTCAACCTGGGGGTCGGGACCCCTGGAGGGGTCGTGAGAGGGTGTCAGAGGGGTCACCAAAGACCATCAGAAAACAGTATTTTCTGCTGGTCATGGGGGTTCTGTGTGGGAAGTTTGGTCCAATTATATCATTGGTGGAGTTCAGAATGCTTTTTGATTGTAGCTGAACTATAAATCCCAGCAACTACAACTCCCACATGACAAAATCACTCCCTCCCCAGGTTTATTTTCCCCAAACTCCACCAGTGTTTACATATGGGCATATTGTGTATTCATTCCAAGTTTGGTCCAGATCCATCATTGTTCGAGTCCACAGTGCTCTCTGGCTATAGGTGAACTACAAAATTCTATTCTTGATGGAGTTCAGAATGCTCTGTGATTGTAGGCGAACTATAAATCCCAGCAACTACAACTCCCAAATGTGAAATCTATTTTCCCCAAATTCCACCAGTGTTCACATATGGGCATATTGTTTATGTGTGCCAAGTTTGGTCCAGATCCATCATTGTTCCACAGTGCTCTCTGGATGTAGGTGAACTACAACTCTAAAACTCAAGATCAATGCCCACCAAACCCTTCCAGTATTTTCTGTTGGTCATGGGAGTTCTGTGTGTCAAGTTTGGTTCAATTACATCATTGGTGGAGTTCGGAATGCTCTTTGATTGTAGGTGAGCCATAAATCCCAGCAACTACAGCTCCCAAATGACAGAATCACACACACACACACACACCGCCAATCCCACCAGTATCCAAATTTGGGGATATCGGGTATTTGTGCCCTATTTGGTCCAGTGAATGAAAATATATCTTGCACATCAGATATTTACATGACAATTCACAAAAGGGGCAAAATCACAGTTCTGGAATAACAATAAAAATAATGTTATGGTTGGGGGTCACCACAACATGAGGAACTGTATTAAGGGGTAGGTTGAGAAGGTTGAGAAACACTGTTCTAGAGGCATTTTCTCCTGATGTTTCGCCTGCATCTGTGGCAAGCATCCTCAGAGGTAGTGAGGTTTGTTGGAACTAAGAAAATGGGTTTATATATTTGTGGAATGACCAGGGTGGGACAAAGAACTTTTGTCTGCTGGAGCTAGGTGTGAATGTTTCAACTGACCATCTTGATTAGCATTTGATTGCCTGGCAGTGCCTGGAGCAATCTTTTGTTGAGAGGTGATTAGATGTCCTTGTTTGTTTCCTCTCTGTTGTTGTGTTGTTCTAATTCTAGAGTTTTTAAATACTGGTAGCCAGATTTTGTCCATTTTGTCATTATTTTATAAGTTATGTATCTTGTGGTACGTTGTGTGTTCTGCACTTTGGTATGCTTTTTGTGAGCCGCTCCAAGTCCCTTTGAGGAGATGGTGGCGGGGTACAAACAAAGATTATTATTGTATTGTCGAAGGCTTTCATGGCTGGAATCACTGGGTTGTAGGTTTTTCGGGCTATATGGCCATGTTCTAGAAGCATTCTCTCCTGATGTTTCGCCTGCATCTATGGCAAGCATACTCACAACCTCTGAGGATGCTTGTCATAGAGGCAGGCGAAACATCAGGAGAGAATGCTTCTAGAACATGGCCAAATAGCCCAAAAAACCTAAAACAACCCAAATATTATTATTATTACTATTATTACTATTATTTGAAGAGGTTGATAAAATCTAATTTTACAGTCCAGTAGTAGTAGTTTTGGTCTGTAGAAGTCTAAAAATGGTCTTATTGCCGTCTTAAATTTGTTCTTAAGTCTTCATAGAGTCAGAAAACAGATTAATGTACACATAAAAGTTCAAATTCTTCATATAAGTGAAGTTGACGTGGATTTACTCTTGGATAAGTCCTTTTCCACAACTGGTTTCCCGGGTACAGGCCAGTTTCGATACTTCTTCAAGTAATCTCCCTGTTTACTTGGCTCTGCCTTCTTATCTTTTTGTGCTCTTGCAGGATCTTTACATGTAGAGTTCTTTACTTGGTTGCAAACCTGAAGAAGTATCGAAACTGGCCTGTACCCAGGAAACCAGTTGTACTCACCCGGCACTACAGATTACTTGGCCATCCCTGACACCCAGAAACAACAACAATAATAAAGGACTGAAACTACAACCCTGTGGAAAAGGACTTATCCAAGAGTAAATCCACGTCAACTTCACTTATATGAAGAATTTGAACTTTTATGTGTACATTAATCTGTTTTTTGACTTTATGAAGACTTAAGAACAAATTTAAGACGGCAATAAGACCATTTTTGGACTTCATTTGTTCTACAGAACCAAAACTACTACTACTGGACTGTAAAATTAGAGTAAGTGTTACCTATATGTACAGCTTTATGTTAAGTATGCATTACCATCACCGCTCAAGCAGGGAGCTTTGAGATGGTTGAACAGAAGCTCTCCGAAGCTCTGGGTGCTCTTACTGCCTATTACAGGGAAAACCAGCTGATCCCTAATCCATCTAAAACACAGACATGTGCCTTTCACCTTAAGAACAGACAAGCATCCCGAGCTCTGAGGATTACTTGGGAAGGAATCCCACTGGAGCATTGCAGCACACCCAAGTACCTGGGAGTCACTCTGGACAGTGCTCTGACCTACAAGAAGCACTGTCTGAACATCAAGCAAAAGGTGGGTACTACAAACAATATCATAGGAAAGCTGACTGGCACAACCTGGGGATCACAACCAGACACAGTGAAGACATCTGCCCTTGCGCTATGCTACTCTGCTGCTGAGTATGCATGCCCAGTGTGGAACACATCTCACCACACTAAAACAGTAGATGTGGCTCTTAATGAGACATGCCGCATTATCACAGAGTGTCTGTGCCCCACACCACTGGAGAAATTACACTGCTTAGCCGGTATTGCACCACCTGACATCCGCCGGGAAGTAGCAGCCAATAGTGAAAGGACCAAGGCAGAGATATCTCCAGCTCATCCCCTGTTTGGGTATCAGCCAGCACGTCAACGACTTAAATCTAGAAATAGTTTTCTAAGATCTACAGAGACACTCGCTGGAACACCCCAGCAAGCGAGAGTCCAAAAGTGGCAGGCCCAAACCCAGCACCTCAATTCATGGGTGATACCAGATGAGAGACTCCCCCTGGGCACACAGAAGACTGGGCGACTTGGAAGGCGCTGAACAGACTGCGCTCTGGCACCACGAGATGCAGAGCCAACCTTAAGAAATGGGGCCACAAAGTGGAATCCTCGACATGCGAGTGTGGAGAGGAGCAAA